GGGGCGTGCCGACGACCCCCGACCGCTAGGTGCCGACCAGCCGATCGGTCGGCGGGTTGGCAGCCAACCAGTCAAAGGCTGCCGACCATCGGGGGTCCAACACTGCTGTACGGGCAATATCAGAGTCTGCAATGATGTTTTCCTCCAAAAGGGAGGAGGTACCGGTCGCTTGGAGGCCGCGCGGCCTAGGAAGTCACCCCCCAAGAGGCAAGTAGTCCGCTATATCTTCAGGAGGAGCAAAGTGCTCCTCCTCATTCTTCGGTGTGCAAGTTTGGCGACACACTGCTTGGAGCGTTGGCTGGAGAAGCGCTGGGCATTACAGCGCTACTAGGAGGAAGAAGGCCAGGAGCTCCCACCTTGTCTATGGTGGAGCTCTACCGGTAGGAAGAGGAGAAAGAAGAGTGCTAGGAGGGAGATTGGTGAGGTACCTACCTGGCTATGGTGGGCACCATCTTCATCACCTTGTTAGGCGCTGCATCTGGAAGGCCCGAGTTGGGATTGCACCGCACCAAGAAGGCTTCAAGGCGGGGTCAGGCATGGCAGCGTGAACAGCAGCGAGCATAGCTGCTTTGTGTTGTCCTTTGCACAGCAGCGCGAGGCCCTAGTAGTCAGCCATAGCCTTGGCCTACATGAAGAGGAAGAAGAAGGGTGGCCATGGCTATGGTGGACCTCGTGTTGTACCTGCAGTAGAAGAGGGATTCGGACATTGATTCTGGTTCAGCCATTCAACATTATTCTTACTATTTATTGTTTGAATACAAGGGGAGGAGAAAAGGAGGAGAGTGGTTGGCGAAGAAGAATAGAATTATCATTGGTCTTTGCTGGTGTACATCTTCTTCTTCTTTTTCTTTCTTTCGTTCTTTATTTCTTTCATCATCTTCTTCTTCTTCTTCTTCTTCTTCTTCTTCTTCTTCTTCTTCTTCTTCTTCTTCTTTCCCTCTCTCTCTCCTCTCAAGTTCATTCATTTCTTTTTGCAATTGGACAGCATTGTGCTTTCTCATGAATGTATACTTCGAAATTGGCCAGGATCGTAACACAGCGTTTCTAATAGGCAACTTAAATAAGCAGTTCTCGAAACAGGGCGGAAAAAAAAAAAAGCTGCCGCTAAATCTGCATTCGCTCCAGTTCAATAGAACGCCCACAGTTCAACCTCCGGCTAAACTTGCACATTTCGAAACTCAAACAAAGACTTTGGCACCACTTTGTCTTTTCTTGCCTGTTGTTTCAAACTAAAAAGGTGACTCAGGAGCAGTTTCCCCCTTTTTTTTTTTTTTCCCCACTCCCCAACAGAAAGCGGGCGGACTGAAGGTGAAAGGGTAAAGACAGTGAAAACAAGGTATTTGACAATTGTCACGCAAGAACAGCACTATGACATTTCAGGTCGGCAGCCAACGTTTTTCTCTCGCAGCGACGCAGCCACCATTTTCCTTGGAGGACACCCAAGGTTTGCAAGCTCAGGAAATTCAGCCTCGGCCCTCGAGCAAAAAAGAGAGGGTCGGCAAAGTAGGTTCAGGATTTGACAAGTCAGGCTCAGGGACAGGGGTGGTTAAAGAGTTTCAACTTTAAAAAAAAAAAGAAAAAGAAAAAAAAGAAGAGCTTCAACTTTCAAGCATGTGTGTGTATGTATACCTGCCATACGAGCTGGGAAAACCGCTTGCAGACCAGCGCGCATTGAGCAATCGCTTTCGCACAATTGTTCTCACTGATCTTCTCGAGTATGCTCACAATCAGCACATCAGGAAGACTGTCGAAAGGGCAATCGTCAGTGGGCCTAGCAATGCTCATGCTTGACCCACTGTTCGGCTTCCGCTGACGAGCAGAGCAGCTCGCTCGTGGGACTCTTGATGGAGCACTCCTTTGCAATTGCTGAGTCCCATCAGCCACATCAGTGTGAAGAATAAGATTCCTCAGCCCAAGCTCTACGTCATCGTTTGCCACTGCAGAAATCTCTCCAAGCCTCTCAGAGTCCATGTCTCTCCTCCTCCTCCTCCTCCTCCTCCTCCTCCTCCTCCTTTGCCTCCCTTCCTCCTCCTCCTCCTCCTCCTCCTCCTCCTCCTCCTCCTCCTCCTTTACTGAGAGCTCAAGCTCAATGCTCCTCACATAAAACACCTCCTGCAAGGAGGAGAGGGCCCACCACCGACAATCCACAGTTCTGCCTCGCCGTCGAGCAATCCATTGCCTTGTCCTCTAATTCTTGTTTTAACCATCACCTCGATACACATTCCTGCCACAAACAATTTCCCACAATCTCACAATTAAAATTTTTCCATCATTCGATGGGCAGTCAACCCCCTCGCTCGAAGGCAGTCAATGCTGCCCATCACCGAGTGCCTGCGCATTTATAACTGTTCAAACAATTGATTACAATGATCAGGGACGTTGGACCTGCTTTCCAGCAGGTGTTGCTCCCCACCAATAGATGGAGCCCTCCCGAGACTGCTAGTGGTGTCTGCTCCTATCAGCACCCCTAGCATCGTCTTGGGTCGAAAAAAGGATTTTTCCATCATTCAATAACACACTTATACTGTCACAAAAAATGCAGTTCCCCTCTCTCAGTGCATTCCTCCCATCAGTTACAGCTGCAAACAAATTCCCTATTATTCAGTTGCACAACATCCATTAGAGATACAGAAGTTCAACCCACCGCCCTCCTCCCCCCCCCCCCCCCCCCCCCCCCCCCCCCCCCTCCTCTGCCCCTCACCAATGTCCAATGGGACAACGGGAATAAACATGCTTTCAGACCAACCATGTGAGGCACGATTCATACCAATCTTGCAGTGAATTGCACACACATGAGATGTGAACTCAAAGATAACCTCTGTGTCGTTCGGGACATCTGTTAAAATTGGAACGATACAGAGAAGATATGCATGGCCCTTGCGCAAGGATGACACACATAAATCGAGAAAGATATAGCCTCTGCCAATCAATTTGAATAAAGTTCAATAAACAAGATTGTCTTTGTAGTATGTACACACTGGGCGTCTAAGGCCATGCTCTCTCTGTCTGTCTGTCTGTCTGTCTGTCTGTCTCTCTCTCTCTCTCTCTCTCTCTCTCTCTCTCTCTCTCTCTCTCTCTCTCTCTCTCTCTCTCTCTCTCTCTCNTCTCTCTCTCTCTCTGTGTGTGTGTGTGTGTGCAACAGTCAGTTTGTTCATATGTTCTATTAAAGCCAGTTGTCTCAGGGTGTACACCGGACACCGTGAGACAAAGTGTTTGATCTGGTGTTACGTAAGCGCAGCAAGGTCTGTTGCAACAGTCAGTTTGTTCGTATGTTCTGTTAAACCGTTTGTCTCAGGGTGTACACCGGACGACATCGTCAGCTGAGATCCACACTCCTTCATCAATTGCTGCCCGGCTTCACGGGTGCACCTAACACCTCTTTCACTAACTACAGTTACCGAGTTATTACTGCTATCTTTAACACGATGTGCAAAGAACTATTCAATGACTAACTCTGTTTACTCTATCATATGCTTCCCTAATCTTCTGTTGCAGATCCTGAGCTACATCTAGGTAATGGCGCAGAAGTGATCTGCTCTGCAGGACAACCCATCACCTGCAAGAGTGTACTTAGTTTATAACGACTTGAGTTCAAAATCAAACTTAGTTTATAGCGACTTGAGTTCAAAATCAAACTTGTCTATCTCTTACAACCAATTAGCTAGCTAAAGGTTTAGATTTGCCTGCGTTTTCAACCGCCTGCAGTCTAATGATCAAAATAGACTTTACAGTGCCTCCCTATGCCTCCCTATGCCTCTCTAGGAGATGGTCCGCTCTACGTCTTCAAGGCTTCATAGTGGGCGTAGAGTTCTCTTTCATAGATAGACAAAGCTACTACTTCCTCTCCCGACATTCCTTTGAACATGAATTATACAGGGTGGTATCCATTCCCCTCATCCTGCTGTAACACAGCCCCTATCCCATACTGACTTGTGTCTGTTGTCACTACAAAAGCTAGGGATGGGTCTGCAATTTTCACCTTTGGGTTTTCTATCAGCAACTTCTTCAACTTATGGAGGGATGATGTGCAGTCTTTGTCCCATTCTGACACTGCCTCCTTCAACAATAGTGGGGCTGCAACCGCACCAAAGCTGTGCACAAACTTCTTATAGTAGTTAGCTAGTTCTAGGAATGGTGTAATTCAGTGAGGTTCTTTTGGCCTCGGGCAGTCCCTGATTGCGGCTATCTTCTTGTCCTCGGACTATACTCCATCTCCATCTATCACATGCCCGAGATACAGCACTGCTTACTATGCCCACTCACGCTTCCCTGGATTGATCTTGAATTTATTCTCCTTTGGCTTCGAGAAGACTTTCTGCAAACGGTCTGCATGATCTTCTAAGGTCACCAGAATGCCATCTAGGTATGGATCTGGCAAGCCACTCTCTCAACATATCATTCATGCAGCGCCAAAATGTTGCAGGGGCATTATCAGTCCAAAAGGCATTACAGCAAACTCGTAGTATCCGTAGTGTGTCCTAAAGGTGGTCTTGTGTTTATTTTCTTAAAGCACCAGTACATGGGCCCCACCAAGTTGAGTGTCCTAAAGGTGGTCTCATCTGAGTGGTGTACCAATTCACCTCGGCTAGGAGTTCTACCTGCTCTTCTTTGTGCTTTTCAGCTTGTTTCTTTTGCTGAAGTTCATTTTATGTCCATCGTATGCCTGTCGTGACGCGTGGACAAGAGAGAAGAGAGAGAGGTTATGCCAACTGAGGGAACTAGTAGTTCCAACATGGCAGCGGCCAAGCCTTCTAAGATTCTGAAGGCTTAAAGGGATGTAGCGGATGAAGAAGATAAACTGTTGTACAATGCCCTCTATCAGAAGGAGCTGGCTGAGGAGGAGAAGGAAGAAGAGGCCAAGCGGAAAACCGCTATTCAAGATCATGAGGCCGTCTTTAGAACAGTCTCAACCCTACCTGATACAGAGGTCAAAAGGGATCTGGTCACCTATGTACGTTCCCTCATAGATTGTCACTTGCTCAGTGAGCTCCCTAGTTTAAAGTCCCAACTACTCAACCAGGTGAGCCAGCTGCGAACTCAGATGAAGCCAGGGTTGTCACGCGGGGAGCCCCGGGGCCCAAGCCGGGGTAGGCTTTTCACCCCCGCCCCCACCAATTGACCCCCGTCCCTGCCCCAACCCCGGCACCCCCGGCCTCGTCCAGCACCCCCGCCCCCACACCCCCGCCCCCACCATCCCCGCACCCTCGGCCCCCGTACCTCCAACCCAACCAAACAGCACCGTGACCAGATGCAGCATATGGCAAATCTGCATCAAACCCAGATCTCAAATTCCCTTCCTCTCCCTCCTGTTGCTAACCGTTCTGTCCTCGCGCCTCTCCATACTCCTTGTTCTTCTTCTTTGTTGAGTTTGTACCATTAATATGCATATTATGACTATTCGTTTCCCGTTTTTTTCCATATATTAGGTGCAAAATTTTGTAATGCATCTTATAATTTTTGTAATGATCGTATTGCCCAGAGGCTTGAAAGTAGGATGTTCCAAGTGGTTTAGGAACACTCTATCATAAGCTTGTGCCTTAAACCACCACTACCTTTCACAGGCAAATGCTACTCCTGAAAACACCGGGCTTGGGGCAGGGTTGGAGGCTGACGAAATGAGAACGAAAAAAAGAAGAAAAAAAGAAAAGAAACAAAGAGCAAGGACGTCGGGGAAGGCCCTCACGAGGATGGCATGTAACACCAGTGCTTTGAGGAATGTATCTGGCCACTACGTGGGGAAGTGTTTGCTTTTTTTTTTTTTTTTTCATGACCTTGTAGTGCCCTACCAGCCAGGCAGGGCGAATTTCACGGGGTGGCACGTAACTGTCTCAACGTTGTAGCATCTTGTATCCACCCTCAATCACAGCAAAAGGGAGCTTTTATTTTTTTCTTGTCCTACACGCCCTCACTGAGGGCACAGTCACACGAGCACCTCATAGAATGTATCTGGTGGTTACTGAGGCTTTTGGGAAGTTTCTTTTTTTCTTTGTTCTTTTTTTCCCCCTTGTTCCTTCTTGGATCAAAGTGCCCCAGCTCGGCCAAACTCGGTGCCAGTGAAAATCATGGTCGGCAAAAACAGGATCGGAGGTAGTGGTGGTTTAAACCACCAGAGTACCTCACCTAGCTATAAAGAAAAGTCGCGGCCGTTAACGCGCCGCGACTTTCGGGGGTCGGTAACTCCAACGCCCGGTCGGTGCAATTTTGCACCCCAAAAAAAAAAATCGAAAAAAAAGAAAAAAAAAGCACTTTTTCTTCTACCCAAAAGAAAAAAAACAAACGAAACAAAAACTTCACACGGGGGGCGAGGAGAGAGAGAGAGAGAGAGAGAGAGAGAGAGAGAGAGAGAGAGAGAGAGGATGCAAGATGTTCGACTGAACTGCCCGGCGTAGGTTAGGAATCCGGAGGTTCTGAATATCTCCAGCAGCATCATGTCATCCACGTCAATCAGATTCCGCTGACTCGTCGTATCCGGAGAAAAACTCACTATCCACGCCGCAGACATCATCGTCGACATCATCATTGCCGTACGGCCCATGCCCGTAGTCTTCGTCTTCAAGACTGCTTTCTAGGTAGTCGAAGGTTTCCTGATTTTCATCTTGAAATACGACATCTACATCGTATGATTCGAATTCCGCAATGACCACGCCTGGTTGTCCTGCATCCAGTGTCTCTTCTCTGTGGATCTCCTCCTCGAACCCGGAAGAATCGTCTTCACCATACCCCTCATCGTCATCTGCAATCAAATCTTGCCAGACTCCCTTGCTCGGTGTGTTACATCTTTCACATGCCTGCTCCCCTGTCTCCGCCTCCCCGTTGCAATTCGTTCTTCCCCCGTCAACGCCCGCAATCACCATATCAATGCTCATTTGCGGGACGACGAGCTCGTCCACAGCATCGAAGTCCTCGAAGATCTCGTAGTCGCTATCCTCTACAAGATCCCTCTCTTCCTCCGTGCGAACATACCCATCCAGGTCTCCGTCCCGATGGGCAAGCTGTCCCTGTCTGCTACCGCTTCCCAAACACGACAGCGCATCAGATGATCCACAGTTCCCAAGGAGGACATCTGAACCATGTCCAATGCTGTAGTCTTCATACATGTCATCTTGGGAATCAGATTCAACGAATGTGGTCGCAAGACTCCTCGAGCTCACACATCGATGACCATCAAACAAGTATCTGGGCGCCGGTGACATATACTCGCTCACTTGTTCGGTTGCATCCAAATCCTCAATTTCACTGTGATCATCTGCACTGGCAGCATCCGAGTACATCACGCCATCATCACAGTTAACCGTAAGAAAGTCTTCGTCACCATCATCATCCTCGTAATCATATATGGGGGATCTTGGCGAATAAACACTCGCTTGTTCGGTTACGTCCACGTCTTCTGGAATCCCAATGTGGTCATCTGCACTGGCCGCATCTCGGGTCAGGCCATAACAGGTACCCGTAAGAAAGTCTTCGTCAGCATCGTCGTCGTCATCATCATCGCCATCGTCATTGTCATTTCCATCATCATTGACCCGACTTCCCTCACCTACATCAATGGCCCCAATTCCCTCGCCTACATCTGCTACTTGATATGCGTCCGCAGCTTCGTAGTCATCGACATCTGTCGTCCCATCAGTTTCCGGCATGATCCCATCGTAATCCACCGTTTCGTAGAAGTCTTCATCGTGCCATCTGTCCTCGTCTTCATCGTCGTAGTATATCTGTCCATTCTTCATCATGAAATCAACGGAGAGTTTCATTACGTTCTCACCATACTTTTTCGCCAGCTCCCTTACGCCCTTGTCCAGAGCACTGTAGCTTTCGTCAACCCCCCTGAACGGCCTGAAGCGGTCCACTCTCACCATGAGCTCCTCAAGCTTCGGGCATCCAGCCAAAAACGCGTTGAGCAATGGCCAAATGCGTGGTGTAACCCATCGCATTGCCTCCCCTTCTATTTGCAACACCACCGTTTGCAGCTTTGGCGCATGCAGCACACCGGCACGCCCATCTGACCTGGCGCTGCTGTTGGAGCCTCGTGCGCCTGATTCCGACATAAGGTCTGGTCGCATCACAAAGCTGATTAGCGAGAACCCGTGAATCTCCAAATGATGCAAATGCTGGAAACAGCTACACGCGGCAAGATCGCTCGCCGACAAAGAAGCAAAATTGAGGGTCGACTCCGCAAAACTTGCTCCTGCAAAGTTCGTATCGGCAAGCAGCGTGTCAATAACTCTGTTGCAAGGGACGGACAATTGCGCTGGGGTGATAGCACATATGGGAAGATCCTTCAGCACAAGGTCCTTGAGCCCCGCAGGCAACGTCTCATTCAGTATCGACTTCAGCCTCCACCACGTCCATCCGGATGGAAGATCATGCTGCGATAACCAATTGCTGGTCGTCCGGAATAGAACAAGGGAGCGGATCTTCACCGCTTCGTCAAGTTGAATATCAGGACCGCCATCGAAGTTGGGGCTCGGGAGCCTGCTGTTGCAGTGACAAATAGCTGCGACTTTTAACGAATCTATGTCCACCTTACCTTTGATCGAGACGAAGCGCACACCGTTGACGTCGATTGTCGACAACCACGGCGCATCCACAATCAACGAGTCGATGAAGGCAAACGACGCTCCTTGCGGCGTCATAGTCGCTGCCGACACCGTCAACTCTCTGAGCTTCGGTAAGGATGTGATTTCTATCGACGCATTCTCGGCGGTGCCATCCTGAAGGCCAATCGCAAGTGTTTCCAGATTCGGGAACAGTGAGAGCAAGACGTGAAAACAAGGGAGAGGCTCTGCAACCACCAGCTGCGTACCTCCCAAGCCAGTGAAGCCGGATAGCATTCCCCAGACCTCCAGATGACGCAGGCTTTTACACATTGCACTACCCCCCCCTCGCAAACTGAGCAAAGATTCTGAGCTTGTGTACTCCTCCCACTTCTCCTCATCTATGCGATTGCTCACAAGCGCAATCCGAGTCACATCCTCGCTGACCGAGATGCCCTGAATATACAGATCTTGAATCGATACGTAGAGTTTTCGGAGGGACTGACATCTCCTCAGGAGGACCTCCAAGGACAAGATGGCAATTTCGCCAGCGCTTGTACCCACTTCCAGGCTCAACTCCTCTAGCCAGGGACCTGCATGAGATAAGATCCGATCCAGAACCTCCGAGCCGAAGATTCCGGGCGATTGAGTGACTTTAAGGCTCCTCAAGGACTTCGTCTTCAGAACTGTCCGCGTAACGACTTCTACAAACAGCTTGTCCTCTTGGGCTTGCGAGCTGTAGCACGGGTGCCGGATCTTCCCTGTAAACGTCAGAGCTGGGACCTGCCAAAAACGTGTCAGTGCATCGGACGCGTCGGAAGTTAGCAATGCCATTTCCAAACCGCCGAAACCGGCCTTCTCTTTCTCCCAAAACATGACATGAAGGCAAAAAAAAAAAAACAAGTAGAAAAAATAATCGATGGTCTGAAAAGTCTGGTAAAATGGAGGGGATCTCTCTCGGGCAATCGTGAAAAAGATGCGCGACCCCCGGCATTGCTAATCTTTCTCCGTCATCACGCGGACACAAGATCTGCCCAGATTGACAGTGATGAAAGCCGCTCACTGTGAATATTAATTTATTAAACGCACTTGATGCATATCAAAGGATGTGACCTTTTTAATACAAGTGGACCCTGCCGCAGTGAAGCGAGGGCAGAGGAGTATTATGAACATGATTGTCTGTTGAAATTTTATCAACACTCACTCACAGGAACTCCCGTACACGCCCATACATGCACAGAAGGAAGGGGAGAGGTAGTGGAGTATCACGCCGCCCAACAGAAAGAAACGCAGCGGAAGACTCAGAGGAGCGAAGTGACAGAACACACAAACTGTGAATTCTCTCCACACAGATCCCAACAATCATCCATAGAAGACAACCGAGTGATCACAGCCAGAAACCAATGAAGAGATGACAACTTGAACACAGTATTACAACTGTTTATTACACTCAGAGCATTGTTTTCACTGAATAACCTCAGAACCCTGTTGTGCCACCCTCAGAGGGGTAGCGCCTCAACCCCAACACCCTGAACAGCTAAAAATAACACCGAAACCCCAGGTAACACCCAGCGCCACCCTGACATCCAACTCAGTGGCCTGCACCAAAGTGAAACAGGCTCCCAGAGCCAATCGCCATCCAGATGATGAAGAAGAAGCTCAGCGCCAACAGTCCCTGATGAAGATGAAGTCCAGACGATGATAACCTCTGAGAAGATGCAGCTATGGC